ATCGAAAAACTGATTTACAATTTAAGTACAAATACATACAACCACAAAAAACGTAAAAACATGAGCATTCCACGATACTATAGCGCTGTTTATCACGATCAGTGCGCAAATACTGTCAGGTCTCAAGTGGAGAATCGAAACAAAATACTCAACACTTTATTTCATAACAACATTCCTTCGTGCAATTAAAGTAAATAATTAAAGAGAAAAAACAACAAACAATAACGTCGAGTTCGTCGGCACCTCTGGAATCGATACTTTATCGAGCATCGGACCGAATAGTCACGGTGACAACGACCTCAGGGCACCTCAGACACTTGGTGACCCAGTACCTACTTACTATAGGCATGCAATACATGGCTCTTATCATCTTGCTAATCAAATTAACAACCTGCAGTCATTCACGTAGCGTTGCAATTTCATATCGTATCTAAATCTATGCGCATGTAAATGAGGACCGTACTTAGCAACTCCTCAACCCACTTATCTAGCCGATAAGCATATTTTAATGCCTCCAACATAAATATAAATCAACTATAAAACACAAAAGTGCAAAGAAGAGCAAGAAAGCTCCATAAACAAGAAATTTTAAAAGGAAATTAACTTCGAAAACATTGAGGAAAAATGTTTGATAACAGAAAGGGACCGGAATCCTCGGAGTCAAGGGTTATTAGAATATTCTTATTTTATTTACTACGTAAAAGTGAGAACAGCACACAATTAGACGTCTAGTGGCTGTTGGTTACATGTCAAGCATCCTTCGCATATGGAGCACTATGACCTGTTTTAGTCTGTGGCCCTTGCCGCTACGCCAGGAAATAGAATGCCATCCTCTTACTCTATTTATGACATTCATACACAGTTTTCACTGTAATATGTATGTATTACTTAACAGTCGTCACATATCACAAGGCTAATTTATGTGCCATTACAGACACCATTATGTAAGTAAACTAAACCTAAATATTCAAATTGTGTGTACATTCATTAATTAGGTATCACTTTTCTGTCTACACACGTTTTCCTTGAAACATAGGTAGCGTAGCACGTCACAAAGATACTAAGAATTCGAATTTCCTCTAAATCGATGTCATTTCTGCTATTTTATCGATACATTGATAACATAAATTAACGAGTAATTCAAAAGCGTTTAAATTGTGGGATTAACTCGTTAGCCGAGTGATTGCTAGTACCATTCCAACAAAAACATACGTAATATGACATAGTATGACAGACATACTATGTATGTCTTTGTCGAATGGTATTTGCTCAATAATATCATTGAGCTTCATTGAACTTTTTATGTTTTCGAAAAGTAATGGCGGTAACGCAAGAATGGGTAGAGTACGGTAATAAACTCGTCCCTATGATATAATCTTCTGATAGGGGTAGTAAAAAGTTGATATTAACATTTAATATGTGCACCTCTGTATAGTATATAAATGTCTGTCGTGTCCACAGATTTATGGCCCAAACAAAAGTTTTATTTATATATCAGACAGGAATCGAACGGTGGTCACTAGCCTCGGAGTATAGACGACCAGCTCAAGAGGATAAGAGGAGTTATATTGAGATGTTATTGTAATTAGATCTAAAACGATGATGATGATTATAGACAAGGAATGTAATAGTATTACGTAACATGTTCAAAATATTAATATTTCTCATTAATCAATTTACAAAGAAAGACATTATATTTTAGTATATTAACATTTTCCGGGAAATGAGAACCACCATAATGGCTCACATAATTCGATCACCTTTGTACGTTTACAAACGATTCGTCATTTATGTTATGATTCATACAAATTCGCAGTTGAAGTAGATATGTACATACTTTATGCCATAAACAAGCCGGTCACAATACGCTCTTATTCAGACAATTATCGTCATACTAATCAAATACCTATTCTTGAAAACACTTTTAAACAATAAATGTATATGTAAATAGGTAACCATAGTTTTAATTGGGTTAATTTTCAAACAGTAAAAAATATGTTGCCATCTGTATTTAAGTTTAATAAGGTTAGTCTACTTTTTGATGCAGCTATGTCCTGAAATTTAAGTAATTATAACCTAATACGTAGATTTGTTAACGGTGGAAAATCCCGGGTGAGGCGAGAGTGTCAGACTCATACTGACTAAAAACCACCCCGTTCCTGCTCCTGCACTTCGAACTGGAGCCCCGGTAATCTTTTACGTTATTAGCGACTCAACCTAATATGTAGATACAGACACCTTTTTATATGAAAAAGCATAATTATTAAAATATTGCATATTTTCCTTAACCTATTGATTCGTTGATGGTGATATAGTATAAAGTTCGCTGGGTCGACTAGTACGAGGTATACAAAACAAACCACTGTCGAGTAAGCATCTATTATACAAATGTTTCGGGCCGGTAAAGTGATAAAGGTGCTCTTATCTCAAGGACGTCCTTCAAGTCGCTTCAGTTGTAGGTTAAGCCCACCCCATGACCTATTTTCCCTCACGTCGGTCACGTCCTAATTTTCTTTACATACAGAACCATGTTTAAGCCAATTATTATTATGTAGAAACTAGAAATCTCTTTTAACTTTTATATTATATAATCGATAAATATTTAAAGCTTGATTGAAAATCCATTGTTAAAACTGTTAATTATTAATTATTTTTTGTTTACTTTTTACGGTATAATGTGATACAATTTATCTGTAAGATCAATAATACCTAACAATAATGAGACAAATGATTGCTTTATGCTAGTTTCCGATGTCTATAAAATATATTTTATATGTGTTACAAGCTAAGTACAATGTTAATGTTAGATGTAAAAGGAACTCCGATCTACATTCCCTTGGGACTTCGAATAGAATAATGATTGCACCTACGTCATACAAAATGATTACGATTGAAGTTACTGACAATTTGTAATCAATATTTTTTATAGTTACCAAATAACTGACTACTTGTGTCCAGGGCCCGTATAGTAGCCTGCCGCATTCTCGAGCACGACCCGCATGCATTCCTATGCGCGTGCGCAGTCACTGACGCTCACATAATTCAAGCCTTGACCTGCATTGCTAACGAAGCCTGCAGGCGTACCAGATAAGACGATTCACTGACACTCTTTGCAAAATTAACTAAACATTTAAACACTACTGCTATTACATTCCATGGCGAAACATTACAACTAACCACAGAGCAGAACACGTTAAAACTAATGAAAACAAATAAAAAAGCACAAAAATCCGGTTGATTATAAATAACAGCACAGTTTTCGATCGGTTTCCAAAGGAACTGAGTATTTACTGAAAAGCGTTCAGATTCGTAATAGCATGAATCAAGAATCTAAATACCACTGACGTCAGCACTTGGTAACGCATACAAATCAATACGTGCTTAGTTAATCACTCATTTACACATTGAACTACTTGTAATTGTAACCCGTTCATTGAATTGTTTACTTTGATAAAAACTTGTACTTATCAGGTATCTAAAACAGGTGAAACTCAGAAAAATGGAGTCTAGAGGCAAAAGGTACCCACTTAGCAACCTTTATAATATCATTTACAATTTTTTTTAAGTATCTAGAACCATAGAGCCTTGTACAAAAAAATATAATAAAAAAAAACTATGACAGTTGAACTGTTGCTACTCGCACTCTTATTTTTCCAGTAAATGTTTAATGACAAACACCGACTTATTTACTCAAAACTGAATTGTAAATTGGCTCTGTAGGTATAATTCATTCACGTCAATTGCTTATTTAATTTAAAACATTGTAACCAAGTATTTTAGGTTTTGTTTAAGATTTAACCTCGAACTCTGTTTGAAAATATGTAAATTTTATTTCAACCATTGAATTTAATATATTTGTTTTTGTTTGTTAATTTCGAATAGACAAATACTTTAATTGCAAAATACCCTAACTAATTGGTTTAAAAATGAGGTCTTTGGAAGATAATGATTTTAAATTCCATCACATTCAATTGAACGAACCCACGGATGGCGTGCATGGGTGGCTCGCCGCCTGACCAGAACCAGACCCGAGCGAAAAGAAATACAAAATCTGCGAGTTACTTAATAAAAGAAATATCCAAATAATCTGCCGTTGCTTAAAATACCTTCTACTAAAACAGAGCAGGTCAAAAGAATTCTCGTTAGGTATTTCTTTATAACGGTATAAACGCCTAAGCTTGTTATTATTTTTCATTAATGCAGTGTTTGTCACATTTACATATTTATTAGGCGAGTATACGACAATGTATGAGTCAACGTACGGATGATGTTCGTCATTTTGTCATGGTAATAACATAGGAACCATTGATTCACTCATTGAGATGATTTGTAACAAACATCAATATCCGGTGTGTAATACATCCTCGTATAATATTTGTATTATCTCTGAATGTTATCAAGCTGTCACTACCTCTAAGAAGAAATTCGTTAATAAAAAGATGACGATGCTTCTCCGTATTTAACTGACTTTATTTTGTTTTTGGGTAACGGCCATCTGATAAAGCCCAATTCTACAAATATGAATAAATCTTCTAAATCCTTACTAATATTATAAATCTGAAAGTGAGTTTGTTTGTTTGTTTGTTTGTTCCACCATCACGCCGTAACTACTAAACCGATTGCTTTGAAATTTTGCAGACGTAAAGTTAGAAGTCCGGATTAAATAATAGGGTACCTATTATCCCTGAAAAATTTGATATTCCCGAGGGAAAACAAAAATATTGGTATAGATGGCGCTGTGTGTATTGGTATATGTCACATTAGCTTTTTATCCTTTAGTGACGCGAGCGAAGCCGCGGGTAAAAGCTAGTGTTATATAAATAAATAAATAATCATAACTGATGAGAATGATTACTACATTTGAATAACAGTTCAATTTGTGAGTCCTTCAAACCTATTACTTCTTGTCACAAATGCGATCACATACGATGAACAACCTTAATTGGGATTTTAGGACGATCTAAGTGAATATTTCGTGGAAGTTGTAGAGCCCAACTTACTTTGACATACCACCGGGTTTGAGATTTTCGGTGTCTGGTTCGGCGACGCTCACAGCTTCGGTCTGCGCGTGCCGGCGACCGCAGTGCGTGGCACTGCGCCGCCAGCGCCTTCGTGCGCTCCGCCAACGAGTGCCGCAGCTCGCCCCCCACACACCCCCGCACTAACATCTCACCCGACCTCCACTTGCTGCTCCACCAGAACACTGTCATCTATAATATTCGAAATACCACTCATCGCGACCCCCTTCACTACACCGATGACCCCAGCTGATTGTGTTGCAGCCCTGCCTAATAAAAAGAAACTCTGATTTACACACTCATCCGACTAAATGTTTATGTAATTAATGCCAACATAAGAACCTTTAATCGTCAAATAGGAAAACTATCGCACACGACAATAATTAGATTTAGTGACTAAATATAGACCGCTTTTAAGTGTAGTCTATTTTTGATTAGATGAACGAGATGAGGCGTCAAGGTCTAGGTCGGGAGATAAGGTCGAGCGGGCAACAAGCCGTTTATCATTTGATATGACGAGTAAACTAAACACATTCTGACGGGCAACGACTCGGGGTGGGATATCGAGTACGTGTCACTTTATATTCTCTCGTGGGAATAACATAAAATATATTTTTATAATAATATCATTGTACTCGTACAATTTGTTTATCCCCTTTAAATGGGAATTACTTGTAGATAATAAGGTTTAAAGCAATATTATATTTATCAGTTTTTATGGTCCTTCCTACAAAATGAATCATGTCCTCTAGTGTCTAATTAAACCAGTTGTAGTATTGATCAAATTAAATTAACTTTGATTGTAATTAAGGCGCATGTGATCCATTCCTATCTCGACTCTCATTGTCACGGTTATGGGATCACAACCTAATTAGATTGTGGATAATATGTATATAGTTTCAATAATAATAATAAATAATATTGTGTCGTTATTTTGTTTCTATTTATTTGTATCGGGCAACGAAGACCCATACAATACAATAATAAGTGACATCGACATTATAACAAATCAATTTTATTCTAATATTAAATCACTAGCTTCTGCCAGCGGCTTCGCCCGCGATCCCAGGGGTAAAATGCCTATGTATTACTTCAGACCATAATCTACCTCTGTTCCGAATTTCATTCCGTTCCCTTCAGTCGTTTTAATATGACTGAGTAACAAACATACACATAAACTCACATATTTTCATTTATAATATCGAGTCAAGCTAATTTTAACCATTCGCCTTTCAGTTACAGCGTAAAGTCTATGAATGAGTATTGTAAACGTTAGAATCTATACTTATAATAAATCTGTAGAGAGGTCAATTCTGTACATAAAATATATTTAAAAAATAACTATCAAGGGGTGGTTAGGGATCGCTACTGATGCCAAAAATGCAATCAGTAAAATTTTTGTCTGTCTGTCTGTATGTTCGTTATGGAAACAAAAACTACTCGATGGATTTTAACGAAATTTGGCACAATTATTCTTCATACTCTTGGGCAGGTTATAGTATACTTTTCATTACGCTACGATCAATAGGAGCAGAGCAGTGAAGGGAAATATTGGGAAAACGGGAGAAGTTACTCCATTTTTTAAGCTTCCGTCGCGTGTGCAGGCTTATAGGTTAAAGCTGCATAGAAATCATGTATGACGGAAATATTCTCCTTAAAATTATATTAATTCTAAAAATTATAGAGGTATATATAGGTAGATTATGGTCTGAAGTGATACATAGGCATTTTACCCCTGGGATCGCGGGCGAAGCCGCTGGCAGAAGCTAGTAGACAAATACAATCAGAAATCACCGAATTGCTAAGCTATCGGGAGTTTCACGTGTTATTGTGAGTCAACCATAAAAGATAGACATATGCTGTCGAGGAATATTTTTTATATGATTTTAAGGAGAATATTTCCGTCATACATGATTTCTATGCAGCTTTAACCTATAAGCCTGCACACGCGATGGAAGCTTAAAAAATGGAGTAACGTCTCCCGTTTTCCCAATATTTCCCTTCACTGCTCTGCTCCTATTGATCGTAGCGTAATGAAATGTATACTATAACCTGCCCAAGAGTATGAAGAATAATTGTGCCAAATTTCGTTAAAATCCATCGAGTAGTTTTTGTTTCCATAACGAACATACAGACAGACAGACAGACAGACAAAAATTTTACTGATTGCATTTTTGGCATCAGTAGCGACCCCTAACCACCCCTTGATAGTTATTTTTTAAATATATTTTATGTACAGAATTGACCTCTCTACAGATTTATTATAAGTATAGATAGATTTATTAACCAAGAAGAAAAACAAATGTCAACTGAAGTGATTGGTAAGTCACAAAATACACGAAAACAGTTTCTGTATGTACTTAATAACTTAATATAGAAATAAATGATCGTTACAAATAACAATACACCTACTTGTTGCTGTAAGTAGAAGTTAGATAAGACTGGCCACAGATAAAAGTACTTTATGCTAATCATGTTTACATTTTAGTGCGTTCTGCGTTAAAGAGTGCTTTTATGTCATAATTAACTACTCTAAAAGCGTCCATTTTGCTCGGGATTTAATTTTCCCAGCAATAAACTTTCCATAAATAGAACTTTAAAAGGTCAACATCAGAGGATTATCGTTCATTTTAGTAAATTAATGGGGAGATCTTTCTTCATTTCAGCCTCAATGTAATTAATAAAGCACTTTTATATTTAAATTGGACATTTTGTGGCGTGAACACAACGTGGGTGCTGTGCTATCTTTAACATTATCTCCCGCTAAAAATGGATTGCAATGTTGATCGAACGAACGTACATATTTCTATAAACTTGAACAAACAAAGAGACAAACGGAACATGTCTTGTCCATTTAGTTTGTAATTTTTGGCGCGACCTAATTCTAGTGTAGCTGTAGTGTAGATACTATTTCAACTAAAATTCTTAGAAAACACTAAGCTTTTACATGTTTTATTTAAAAAACCTGTTCTAAATAACTATGGTATAATAACTAGTTTAGCTGCTGAGGCGTAGAATACATGTCTGTAGACTAGGTCGATATCTGACGAGGAAATTGGATAATTGAGGAAGGGAGCGGCCGTCGACGTGAACTACGAGTAGATACACACGGTACATTAAGAGAACATTTTTTTCTACGAGTATTGCATGTTACCAACGAGCCAACAATTTAATTTGTTTAAGTCTAAAGCTGTAGTATAAACTATGTCGTAATAAGACAAATTCTATCCTATATTTTCATCTTTAAACTTGTTTTCAACATCTTAAAAACGCTGCGAATGCAATAAATTGCAACAGTAGTAGTGGCTACCGTTCAAAGGAATTCTAAACAACTCCTTACTGGGTCAGTGTGAGTTTATTTTAAGATATCTCGCTCGTAAACTGGCATTAAACTGTCAAACACCAAGCGGTCACCGGTGACCGCGACCTATTGTTCTTTAATTGTGTCTATAAAACCGGTACTCGACGAGTTAATTGATGTTTAGCTTGTGAAATACGTTTTCTAATTATGTTTAGTAAAGGTAAATACGAAGTACTAATAACTAACTTATTTATGATGCTGATTCTTAAATACAATGATAAAACCAAAATATGCAACATTAAGTTTCAAAATTATGGCATGACATAAAACCAAACTTTTCAAGCCACCAAAATGCGAATCATGTGTTACAACGCCAGGTGTTTTATATGCATTTAATGCCCCGAAATTTCGTCCTTACTGCTTGTGAATACGGCCAAAGTATTCACAAGCAGTAAGGACGAAATTTGATGACGAATAAGAACGAATTGACAACAGTGAAAACGACAGGTGGCCGACAACTGTCGTCAGGTGCACACCGTACACGAAAAGGTTTTTGAAATTCCTACCTGGCTTCCAAACGCAGCACTCTCATTTATTCATCTACCCATACAAACCGCGACTTTTTGCGTGTACTCTTTGTGCACGGCTTTGTGTTCGCATTCATTATCTAGGCTGAAGGCAAGCTTATTATCAGCTAATAGGAGTAATGTTCTGTACTGCTTTAGTGCCTACAAAATTCCTATTTCCTTACTGTTTATGTTGGGTATTTCACACAAGCTGTTCTTAAAAATATTTTTCTTTGTTGTGTTCTAGTTTGCAAGTGAATGTCGTCGTCTCAGACTTGCTCTTTTACATTTTTTAAACATGATTAGATAAGTTTTTCTTGATAAAAGTGATTACATAAAACAGAACAGCAAATTATTCAGCGATCACAGCATTTACTTATATTTGAAAGTCGATAGTGATCAATAAATTTCGTTTGATAATGTTAGTTAGTAACCGTATTAACTATCAAATTAGACAACTAACCAAAATCATACAAGAATTTTCAGAATTATATTAGGGGTAAATGTAAAAAGAAGTACACATACCTAAGTGACTTTTTTAACAAAAATCAACGTCTTGGTAACTCATAATATGATTTACTACCAACATAATTAGGCCTAAACATTTTTAAGTGCCACAAGTGCTATCAACCGTAGCAACTTCGCACAACGACGGTAGTAGATTAAACTTATGACTGATTATTATGTGTACCCGTGAATCTTTGTTAGTCATTCTCAGCGTCTAATGAACATCTAGTCTTTGTACTCAGAACTTCAAAATATTAAGGAATATTTATAGATTTTGTTTAAAACCGTGTTCTATGTACGATCAGCTGATAAGGACCATAGTTCCGTACCTAGATAATTATGGATAATTAGCATTAAAGGATTCTTAGATTCTTAACTTGGCATTAACTACATACCCTGTAGACAACCAACTAATTGGTATAGCAAATAATTACCATGCAAATTACACTTGAACTCAAAACACGTTTGAAAATAAAAACACAAAAATGTTATCTCACTATGCACAGTCACAGAAATCACAAAGGAAACACAATGGAATATTATTCATTCAACATTAGTTCACTGGTTTCTTCACAAAAAAGTACTTAAACGAGATTTTTCGGAAGTGTGTTTTATCACTGAATGTAAAGTAAGAACGTTGACAAGTAATGGCCTTCCGTACTCGACGCCCGGCGCGCGTCGTCTGAGCCCGCGACGAGCTCCATCGCACTACACCGAGGACTGACGCGACAAGGAAACCACGCATGTGCAGGATCTCTCGGATTTTCCGACACGCCACTGTCATGACGTTGCATAGCTACGTCATGAAATCATAAAGT